GCATCAGTAGTGCCTAAGCCTTTCCCTGAGTTCCAGGACATCTAGGGCTGTTACACAGAGAAATCCTGTCTCAAAAACGAACAAAAAGTTCTGTCATGGGCTGATAAGAAATCATTAAATTAGTAATGAAAAATAAAGACCGAAGGGTGAATCTAGATTAAATAGCACTGAAAACTTGACATCTGAATTAGGTGCATAAACTGAGATTTTTTTTAACTGCTCTGCTGCGAGCAGTAATATAATGAAAATTTTGAAGAAGGACTATACAGATTTTTAAATGATTATTTTTAGTGAATGGGTGTACATGTCAGTGCACCATGTATGTACCTGGCATCTAAGGAGGCCAGGAGAGGGTGTGGTGTCTGTTGAATCCCCCAGGATTGGAGAGTTGCAGATAGCTGTAAGCCGTTGTGTGGGTGCTGGAAATTGGACCCCAGTCCTCTGGAAGACTAGCCAGTGCTTTTATTCACTAAGCCATTGCTCCAGCCCCAATGATCATAGACTTGACAACGCCAGACAATGGTGGGCTACCCACATCCTGATTTTAATAACTGCCCTAGAATGAAGGCATTACACGTTGAAATTTTTAGAGAAGGGAGCATCATATTGGAGTGGGTTGTGGGGGTTGAGGGAGAGATGAGAGGGAAAGCAAAATGACACATGTACACAAGTTCTAATAAAGTAAATTCAGATAGGAAATACAGATGAAGGTACATGAGAGTTCTTTATATTCCTTAAATTCTAAAAGCCTACATTCATCTAACATCTAAAAAAGATCTTGGTTCCATTTTCAGTACTTCAGAGGGAAAGGGGTAGTTAAAATGTAGTTAAAACATTCTGTAGATTTCTCTTCTTTACGTCTTTTAGTTGTTTGTCATTGTTAAGATGTAATTATATATGTGTCTATGTTAGTGTATGGACATGTGTGGGTGGGTGTACAGGCTTGTGCACACATGAAGGCCAGAAAGAGGGTCAGAGCTGGAATTACCCAGGTTGCTTGTTTCTTGGGAACTGGGATTTGCCCCCCCCCCTTTTTTGAGACAGAGTTTCTTTGTGTAGCCATGACTGTGATGGAACTCACTCTGTAGACTGTGCTGGCCTTGAACTCACAGAGATCCATCTGTCTCTGCCTCCAAGTGCTCAGATCAAAAGAATGCACCACCATTACCCAGCTGGGTACTGGGAATCTTAATCCTGGTCCTCACGATTACACTTCAAATGTACTTAACTGCTGAGCCATCACTCCAGCCCTGTTGTTGTTTTGGAGACAGGGTGTAGCTATGCAGCTCAGGCTGGCCTCAAACTCATGGCAAACCTCCTGTTTCTGCCTCAGAGTACTGGATTACAAGCAAATGCCAGCACAACTGGCTATATACTTTAATTTTTTTGTTTATTTTGTGTGTGTGTGTGTGTGTGTGTGTGTGTGTGTGTGTGTGTGTACGCAAGCTCATGTGCATTTGCATTACATGTGTGGAGGTCAGAGAACAACTTGTGGGAGTCAGTTAGACGTGATCTATTGACCTAACTGGGGATTAAACTGAGGGCATAGGATAGAATCAGGAATGGAAAAGTTGTAGAATGTGATTGTGTATCCATCCAAAATTCATGCTGGCACTTATACCACAAAGAGATGAGGGAAAGTGATTACTTCTGAGAGCTGCGCTGGTGAGTGGCTTCGATGTCCTTATGAAAGAGGCATCAGAGATGCCTGGATCTGTCACCTCTTCTGCCATGGGAGGTACAACATCTGCTCTCCCACCGTGTGAGGGTAAGCCTCCATCAGAGAGTCTGATGGGGCCCTTAATCTTTCACTTTTCCACCATAGAACTGTGAGAAATAAATGTCTGCTCGTTTCTAAAAATCACCAGGCAGTAGCAATCTGCTGTAGACGAAGTGACAACAAACCAATAAAGACCTATAGCAGGAGAAACAGCGATGGCTTGTTACTTGTGGGATGCAGAGGTGAGAAGACAGCATGGGACAAAGGGGAAAGGGACCAGCCGTGGAGAAACGGAGGGGGAACAGCCTTCAACCTGGACTCCGTGAAGAGAGGATTCAGAGGGCTCCTGAACTAGGACAGAAAGACGCTTTGCCTGTAACTGAACTCCAGACACAGCCTGCCTGGATTAGGGAAAAAAAAAACAAATTAAGATCTTAGCCTGGCAGTGGTGGCACACACCTTTAATCCCAGTACTTAGGAGGCAGAGGCTGGTGGATCTCTTGAGTTTGAGACCAGCCTGGTCTACAGATCGAGTCCCAGAAGAGCAGAGAAACCTTGTCTTGAAGAAAAGAAAATATGTATACTATGTTCCAGGACTAAGAAGAAAAATCAGCAAAGACAGATAAAGTTATCAGCTTGACTTTGGAAGTGCATTCATCTCTTGTGCCTACCAAACTCCAGCTGCAAGGAACCAAAACACCTCCAAGTACTCTGCCTTGATTTTTCAGTCTGTTCATCCTCCCCTCTAAGGCACTGGAAACAGTTCAAAGGGGATCAGTTGTCTGGTTTGCCTAGGACAGAGGGCTTTCTCAGACACAGCCAAAGCTAAAACTAGGAGAATCTGATTCACTGCCTTATGAGCCCATCAAATCAGACTCTGTATAAGGCTATGTTAAACATACTTACATTAAGAAAAAAAAATGTGGCACACGCCTTTATTCCCAACACTCAGGAGGCAAAGGCAGGCAGATCTCTGAGTTCCAGACCAGCCTGGTAGAGAGCTAGTTCTAGGACAGCCTCCAAAGCCACAGACAAACCCTGTCTCAAAAAAACAAAAACAAATTAGAATACTTGCTCTTAACTGGTCCATTTTCACAGGACCCAGTTTGATTCCCAGCACCCACATCACAGCTCACAACTGTCTGCAACTTCATATCCAGGAGGGAATCTAGGATCTTCTTCGGGCTTCCATAGGCACCAGGCACATACATGGTGCACAGATATACATACAGACAAAACACTCATACAGATAAAAAATAAAAAGAAAGCTAAAAAAAATAAGGTTTATTTTAGATGTTTGTTCATCTGTTTTCCAGGAGATGGGCAGTCTTCCTCACTAAAGGGCAGACAGTACAGGAACCCCAAGCTCACTGTTCTACAGTTTGCAGTCCTGCTGCATTCACAGATCATACACTCCTCAATTTTTTACAGAATCACTGAAGGAGTCCGGGCTCTGAGGACGTCTTTGCTCTGCTTCATGCAGCAAGTGAAGCCTCCTAGCATCAGCTGCCAAGCACTGTACGTTAGAGACAGGAGTGGTTGTTGCTATACCGAGATTATGCACAGCTCCAAGTTTCTTTTGCAACACCCATGAACTCAGCACTCTGGCATTATCTTGATAGGCACTCAGTTAAGGTGATGGCTTGCATATTTTTAAAAGACGTGCAAGTCAACAATTCTTCAACAACTTGAAAATCAGAATGTAGGGCAAGTGGTTAAAAAAAGAAAGAAAACAAACTGCTTCTAGATACATCATCTAATCAGAAAAATCTACATTTGGTGAGTGCACCGTGTTACTCTAAGGCAAACTGACACACCCATGTATGTAGATGTTGATCAATCCAGGAATCTTGGGAGGGGGGGCGGTACAGCAATGTAGAAAACCTGCATATACAAACCAGGGCATTCAATTACAAAGGATTCAGGCAACGGAGAGGCCAAGCCTAGTCAGCTTTATTAGTCTCACAATTCATGGATTCCCACCCCCTCCTCTCCCTGTAGCCATGGCAACATCCACACCAAGGCGTTCCAGAATTCACCTTTGGATACCCAGGATCCACCGAATGTGCACCTACGCAGCACAAATAAAACCGAGATATCACCACCCACTAAACTAAAACAGCCGTGTCCTTCTACTTCCCAGATTTCTAATTTAACTAGGGAACATAATTAAAAACAAACAAACAAAAAAAAAAACCTCTTTCACCACAGAAAGGGAGCTAAGTCCTGAACTATGACTTCTTTGGATAATTAGATTATTTTTTAGCGGAGTGGGTATCATCGAGGGATGAAAACCGGATGCACATACGCATAAACATTTGCCTATAAAAGGCAAATAAGCTGATAGGATCAAAATCTCATTCTCGTGGCATGCGTGTTGGGCAAACTGTTTTGCCCCTACAGGACACTTGTCTCTGGAGTGGAGAAACAGTTTCCAGCACGGCCGTCTGGGGTAGTTATAATACAACAAAACGCATTAGGAGCCCGCGGGACCGCGCACAGCGGGAGCAAAACTCATGACGTATTCGAGCGAGCTTTCCAGAAGTACCCTCCAGCCCGAAAAAGATGCCTAGACAGCGAGTCTCATTTCTGCTTGTAGGAAGGGAAACGAATCGTGTCCCTGGATACCCAGATTAGGACACAAACCCAGCGGTTTTATTAGGATGATATTAAAAACCCCCAGGCGTCCTCCATCCCGGGTAGCCAACTCCGCCCTAAGCGGCAGCCCTTAGCTTTCCCTCTCCATTTCACATCCCTGGGGTCTGTGCAGAAACAACCCACGGCCAAAAAATAAAAAATAAAGAAAATCCCCCTCCCCAAACTTCTCTCGCAGTGCCCTTTTAGACAAGTCAAAGCGGTGCAAACACGCCGAGACCTAGCCTGCGCGCGTTGCCCCTAGTAAAGATGGCGGCCACAGGCGGAGCCCCGCCCTCCGGAAATCCGCGGGTTGCCCCGCCAACCAGGACCATTCACGCGGAGCCCTCCACGCCCGCCGTGGTTTGACGCATTGCAGGTGCGGAGCGGCCAATCAGGCAGCTTGACTCTTTCCGGCCAACCACTGCAGGGTCCCTCTGGCCTATCAGAGAATCCTTGTCAAACTCAACGAGGAAAGAGACCTCAGCAGCGCCAACTAAGCAACCGGCTACAGACCGCGTTTGGCAGAGTGTGTCTCTGACGCTGTGTGCTCCTCCGCGGAGAGATATAGTGCCCTAGCCCTCGCCCGCACTCGGCCCCGCCCCGCCCCGCCCCTCCCGCAGCACATCAGGAATTGAGGCTTGGCGGGCTCCTCTCCTCTAGATGGGCTTTGGAACGTCTGAAACGCATAATCGACCTAAAAATCGTACGAAGATCCTGTGGGGTGTCCAGTGCCCCTTAAAGGGAAGATCTGGATCAATCCACAGTGGTTCCCTTGCTCGCAGGTGGCGCTTCTTTTGCTGTCGCCAGGCGCAGTTGTCAGCAAGGAAGGAGAAACGCTCCCCACATCCTAAAATACTCCCTCGGGTTGACCCCTGTTTAGAAGTGCAAAGACTCAACACCCCCACCCTCGGAGAAGCACACCCATGGGCACTTCTGTTTCTAGAAGGACCAGCGTCCTTCCCAAGGCTGGGCTTCCGCGAGGGTCTAGAGGTGAGGGTTTGATAAAAGCAATACGATAGCCAGTTCTAGTGCAACCTCAACAGCTGTTAGTCCAGTTCTAGAAAGTGAGCTGTACCTGTAGTTGAAACCCAGCTGGGTTAACTATCAAATGACTGAGAGTTAAGGCGTGAGTTTTCACCGTGCACTAGGGGGACTGTAACTTCACAGCCTAGGAATCGAGAGAAGTTGCAGAAGAGAAATGCTACTGGATTATAATCACGGCTGTAAGAATCCAGCTAAGAAAATGAAATTTGTGGATTTCTTAAAAACATGCTATTTTGATATAGAAGGTTTGGATGATCTGATTTTTGTTCCAACTACCATTCTTCAAAGATTATGCTATAATGGGCCTTTCTGACATCTCTATAGGTGTCTGCATTGCCTTCATGTGAACCTTATTCTTTGATCCAAAGCTGTAGTTCACAATTGTTTATTGCTGTTTCTCAAACTCAACGTCTTGTTCCAAAAGGAAAAAAAGCTGTGAATTTCTCTGTGGAGGCCTTTAGAAGCCTCTCCTAAAATGTTTACCATGTGGGCAAATAACTTGGCACTAACGTGTGGCCATTTCACCACAGAAATATCTGCCCATAGAAACAATACATCACATTCTTTTGCGGTGTACCTGGAGTGGGAAGTATCTGCTGTGACTTATTTGTGTTAAACCAGATTGTGATGTGAGAAGAGAGATCTGAGAGTGCTACACAAATTAGGAATTCTTGGGTAAGTTCCTCTATTCCTGGAACCTCTGTTGTCTAGATTGCGGAATGAGATGACCAGCCTAGATGAGTTCCAGATTGCCTTCCCGGCTCTGTTATTTGATTCTGCTATGAAGAAATTGAACCATAACCTAATTGTGTCATATTTAGAACTGTGCCTGTTGACAGTACTTTCAACTTTTCAAAGTTGCTTTTAACTTTCTTTTCAAACTCAGTCTTCAAAGTATTTCCGAAGGGAAGATCAGAATTTGCCAAGAAGTTAGATTTTTCTATAAAGCCTGTCACTGGTTTATCTAAATATGAAGTATTCTTTATAGCATGTTACTTCAATTCTAGCATATAGGAAAGTTGTTGGGTTTTGTCCCCAGGATCAGTGGGCTAGCGCACTGAGTTGTGAGCTCCTTCAGGATGCTCATGTGCTTATAATCCCTATACTTAGTAAACTAGCCTTTGTATTCTAGCTCAGTGAGGGCCTACTAAAGGAGTGAAGGAATGGTTTTATTCCATTCCAGGGTCAGTGGTAGAAATCTGTAGTTGATCTCATAAGTAAAAAACAAAAAAACAAAAAAAACAACCCCCCCAAACAAACAAAAAACAACAAATACTCATGGAACATCTATGGTGTAGAGGATACAATTTCTCTTTGTGAATTGTCTCCACTTTTGTTTCTTGCTGTTTTGAGACAGGGTTTCTCTGTGTAGCCCTGACTGTCCTGGAGCTCACTCTGTAGACCAGACTGGCCTCAGACTCAGAGATCCACCTGCCTCTGCCTTTTGGAGTGCTGGGATCAAAGGCGTGGGCCACCACTGTCTTGAGTACTTTTGATTTTTAAATTAAGGAAATATCATTAATGGAACAGTCATGAATCTTAAGTGTCAGGGTTGATTTCTAAGTTCTCTTTTGTATGTATTATATTTTTGAAGAATTCTAAGATTTAGAAGAAACATTAAAAAAAAAGCTGAGTCACTCAAATAGTTGGCTTTCCCCCATGCTTTCTGGTCTTTTGTGAAGAGGTAATGTCCTCTGACAGCTTTGGATAGTTCTTTTTCCCTTTCCATCTTTTTGGTAATTTGGAGGAATAGATATCAGGATCATTTATTGAGCAGATATGGCCTACTCTGGGCTGAGTATTTTATAAAAGTGTCATTTGACCCAGTGGCACTTTATACTCTGAATGGCTAACGTTTGGAAAAAGACACGTTGAGTCAAATCCAGCATGACCTGACTCCATCAACACCTTTGTCTCTACCAATCTCCTAACTTTCAGGGAACTCTGCACAAGTTCCTCACAGACTCCACCAGCCAAATATTTAGAAGCCTGAAATGTCGAATCCAGAAGGGACCAGAGAAAGGCTACCTGGCCTGACTTTCCCGTTTTCCAAAGAAGAAAGCTAACTCCTGAGAAGTGAAAGGTAGGGGACTGAGCAGGCTTTAGGATCACGTGACCCTGCTCTCCCCTTTGACTTTGGACCTCTGAAAATACTGTAATCAACAAAGAGCAATTGCAATAAGGAAAGCAGGAGGATGTTATCGTTCTCAGGGCCTCCCAGTGATTGAGGACAATCCTAAGATGACTTTGCTTTGGACTTTGTTATTTCACTTAAGGATTGGCTGTGCAGAACTGTTCTCCCAGCTAGGCCTTATCTATACTGCTTATTTAAAATCTTTGGCCTTCATCTAAGTTGCTGACACTGTTTTATGTTAAGCCTTATGGTTTCTTCACTTCTGTGTTCTTCAGGGTGACTCTATTTCCTTTCCTCAGAAGAATACAGAGAAGCTCATTTTTTTGGAGTTGGGTAACAAAGGAATGTAGCTACACAATTAACAGTTTGTATAAAATTCTGAAGCGGCTTTTAGAGTATGGTAAAGTGCTAATAAATAATAATCATAAACAGGGCATGGTGTTATGCACTCACATTCCCAGGGCTTGAAACACTGAGGCAGAAGGATAATAAGCTTGGGATCAGCCTCGTCTACATAAGGAGACTGGGTGGGGTGGGGATCGATAAGGAAAAGAAAAGAAAGAATAGGGGCTGTGGTGTAGCTCAGTTAATAGAGTGCTTGCCTGGCATGCGTGAAGCTCTTGGTTCAAACCCCAGCCCTGGGTGGAAACCCATACGTGGTGGTGCTCACCTGTACTCCCAGCACTGGGGAGGTATAGATCAAAAAGTTGATGGTTATACTTTTGCTTTCTATTATGCAACTTCTAGCTGGTGTCTTAAATTTTTTCCCAGGTAGTTCAAACAGGTATGACTGGACTTGCTTAGCATATTGTGCTCTTTCCCAGATCAAAGTACTCATTTCATGGCTTTAGCAGCACCCAGACTCCCTAACGTAGCAAAAGTTGAGGAGGCAGGAATGGCTTAGCCAGAGCCTGAAGTCTTGCCATCCAGAACATTGCTTGCAAGGCGTTTGCAAACCACAAAGTAGAGACACAGTGCTCAATACTTTTGTTCAGTCTCCCACCTTTCTTCAGAGTTTGAACACTGCAAATGTCTCTGTTAGAAGCACTCACTAGACCATTTACAATAGGTTTTCATGTCACAGTTCTGACATTTTCCTAGGTTTCCAACTTGGTGTGAAACAGATGCTTCCCTGAAACTGTGTGACCAGGTAGAGCCAGAGCCTAGAAACATGAGACCATAAATGAGTTCTCTTGAGTCACAAATCTCCTGGGATTTGGAAGGCATTGGTGACCCAGCAGCATGCCTTAAGAGTGGTGGGCAGCTCAGGACTTCTGACCCCTGGGACCTGCTTGTTAAGGGTATTAAACAAAAGGGAACCTCCTTAATTCTTCTACTGTTGATGCCTTAGAATCCCTCCAGGTCCTTGATTTTGATTCTGAATTGGCTTCTGACCTACTGATCTTTCAAATGTTACAAACAAGCACACCTTATATTTGTTTCTGAAGCCTATGGTTTGCAAACTAATTTGACACGTTTTCCCTCTCATATAACCTTCCCATCAAGCCCAAAGATGTGTTGTCATTATACCAGTTTCACAGATGAAATGGCTGAGTCTGTGCCACTAAGGAAGCAAGCAGCCTTGTAGACTACACAATGTTATTTCAGCCTGTCATTGAGACCTGGCAGAATTTCTGCATGCCATTTGGCTTGTAGAAGAGGATGTGACAAGGAAGGGGTACAGCCATACTCGGTTGTACAATTGAAAACCCATTGGAGAGAACTTCTTTTCATTGATCATCTAGTCAGCCATGCTGTTGCCGATGCCTACAGTTGGTTTGTCAGTGACTCAGATTCTCTACTTAGGATAAATAAAAGACAAGCAGTCTCTTGGATTTGGGCAGAAAAATAGCTTTTCCAAAGTCCAGCTTGCCTTTGGCCATATTTCCTCCATTGTAAGAAGCGAGGGTGAGAGCCAGTTATGTACCCACCTGAAGAGAGCTGTAGACAAAGATGGATCAGCCTTTTGGGTATCCATTAGGACAGTAGAGGGCACCATCAGGTTCAAAGCAGGGACAGTCCAGTGTGTTCTTGGCACCATGTGGGGTGCCACCAAATTAGGGAAGACTGATTTTGGTGGTAGACTATTAATGAAGTGAGAGACTTCCTTTGCATTGTCCCATTTGATGTCCGCTTCTGACCTCTTTAGTCCCAGAAGTCACGGCACTACACACTAAATCAACAATCTGTTGGCACCTGTTGAGGCAAGACTACACCGAGCTCAAAGAGTATCACATGGTAACGTACGGAGGAGCTTTGAATGGAAAGAGGCCCCTAAAGGTGTTGAGCAGGGGTGTGACATGTCAAAACCAATGGCACCTGTGTGTTCTGTGGGGAAGGGGATGGTTCATTGGGCTAAACAAAGAATTGTGGGGTGATTATTTAAGATGTTGGGGCCTTCAGGGTCACTGATCTAGGCACATATGGATGCTTTTTTTTTCCTTTTTAAAAATCTCTAGAATGTGTCACCCAACAGACGTTTCCTCAATGATGAATGAATTCTGCATTGTCCAATACAATAACCATCATCTGTATGGGAGTATGTATTGCTAGCAAAACTGAGGAACTGTATTTTTTTAAAGATTTATTTATTTATTACATATACAGTGTTCTGCATACATGCCGGAAGAGAGCACCAGATTGAATTGTGGATGGCTGTGAGCCACCATGTGGTTGCTGGGAATTGAACTCAGGACCTCTGGAAGAGCAGTCAGTGCTCTTAACCTCTAAGCCACCTCTCCAGCCCAGGAACTGTATTTTTTTATTGGAATTACTTGATTTAAAGTATGGTTAGTGGTTACTGTAATGGACAGGTCTGGAAGAAAGGACAAAGGTTATTCACTATGAATAAAAACCCAACCACTCTACTAATTAACTCAATCCTTTTGTGTTTATTATTTGTGTGTGTGTGTGTGTGTGTGTGTGTGTGTGTGTGTGTGTGTTGTGAATGCATGAGAGGGTACACACATCTGGGTGGAGCACAGGAAAACATAGAAGATGTCAAATGTCTTCCTTTGTCATTCTCTGCCTTGTTGCTGCAAAATAGGATCTCTCACTAAACTGGAAGCTTACTGTTAACACTGTCTGATGGGCTGCCTTGCTGGCCGGCTGCCTTGCTAGTGAGATCCCAGGGTCTTTCTGTCTCTGCCTTCCAGTGTGGTGATTACAGGCACATGCAACCATGTCTCACTTTTTACATGGCTGCTGGGGATTCAAACTCAGGTCATCATGTTTGTATAACAAGCCCATCCCACCCACTGTGCCATCTCCCCAAGTCCTACTAATTGGAGAGGTCATTTCTTTGATATATTCTGCAATCAGCATCGATTTATCTAATTTAACATTACAGTTCAATTATATGCCATTCAGGGCCTTGGTAACATTCCAACTTGTGTCAGTCGCTAACTGCGTCACCCCAAAAACCTGCCATGCCAGCTAACTGTGGTCACACAACTATAGATGAAAGTTTCTGTCCTGCCCTGTCCTACAGCCTTACAGTCCCAAATAAACACCCAGAAGCTTATATTAATTATAAACTGTTTGGCCTATTGCTTAGGCTTATTTCTATCTAGCTCTTACAACTTAAATAAACCCATCATTCTTATCTATGCTTAGTCACATAGTTTGGTATATTTTCTCAGTGGGCATTCTCATCTTGCTTCCTCTGCATCTGGCTGGTAACTCCTGCTCTCTGCCTTCCTGTTCCCAGAATTCTCCTAGTCTGGTAGCCCCACCTATACTTCCTACCTGGCTGCTGGCAAATCAGCTTTTTATTAAAACAATATAAGTGACAAATCTTTATAGTGTACAAGACCATTATTCCACATCACAAACCCTCCCCCAACTAAACAATTGCTGAAAACCTGTTGTCATAAATGTGGGCTACGGTGAGACCCCCACCCCCAGCATATTTGGTAGACATGGTAAGTTGCTGACTACCATTTGATAATTTTGCATTTGGGTTTTGAAGTATAAGGACAATGATTGCTTAATTGTTTCCCAAACAATATGATTTAAAGGACTGATCTTGGTAACACACCCCTAATCCCAGCACTCCAGAGGCTGAGGCAGAGGCAGATAATAAGTTCAAGAGCAGCCTGGGTTACATAGAAAATTCTAGGTCGGCCTGAGCTACATAGCAAGACTCTCAAAAAAGCAAAACCAAAAACACTACATTATACAACATGTCAGATGCCTCTTTTTAAAGGAACCTGATTTCAGTGTAGACAACTGAAGAACAAAAATATGATCCTGTTTCCCCTCAATATATGTTTTTATTTAAATTAAAAACTATGATCTTATCCCATTGGGCATCTTACTCTCTCGATTCATGAACTCAATTCCCTGGTCTCTCTAACCACTAACTGCTTGTGACTTAAGAGTTCATTTAATTAAAGCATAAATATGATGAGGTCCAAGTCAGGCCAGTTATTTCTCTGGATCTTACTTCTCGATCCCTGACTCCATCTTGTATTTCATATCCATGACCATGAACAAAAGGGTGGTGTCTTGTTAACTTCAGCTATCCAATTGATACAAACTTAAGAGTCACCTGAAAGAGAGAACTCTGGCTGAAGAATTGGCCCAATAAGACTGATCTGTGAGGCCATTTTCTTAATTGCTAATTGATGTAGGAGAGTTCCAGACTACTGTGGGTGGTACCATCCCCAGGCAGGTGGGTCTGGGCCAAACAGGAATGATAGTAGTGTTGTTCTTTTGCTTAAGTTAAAGGCACAAGATAGAACTGGCGCGATGGATACATTAACAATAGAGTTTATTCCAGGTGGGGAGATGGAGAGGGAGAGCAGGAGAGGAGAAAGAGATGCATGGGAGGGTCAGAGAGAAGGAAGAAGGGGAAGAGGAGGGGGAGGGGCGAACACGTGGAGATTCTCACTCACAAGGAGAAACTTGCACACACATACTGAGTCCTTATGCAGCCCGGTAACAGGTGAAGCAGCACAGGGCCCTTTGAGCTGCCTAAGTATCTGCACTCACCCTATTGTCAGGGGCGGGGTTGGCATACCAGGCTCCAAAAGTAGAGGGCTAAGGTAACTTGCCTGAGGAAGCACTCAGGTAGCCAGCGTTTCTCCATTGGCTTCTGCTTTGAGCTCCTGCATTGGTATATCCTATCCTTCACTGATGGACTATATAAGCTAAAGTAAACCCTTCCCTTCCCAAGTTGATTTTGAACATGGTGTTTACCAAGACAACAGAAAATATTAGAATAGAAATTGATACCTAAAAGAGGGGTTTGTGATGAACCTGAGCATGTTGGCTTTGGGGAAGGTGTAGAAGCATTTGGAAATTTGAGTTGGAAAAGCTGTTGAGTACTCAGGGTTTAGTGGGATTTTTTTGTAAGAGCTTGGAAGATAAGATACTGAGAAAAATGCAGATGGTCAGGGCCTGGCCTGTAATCTTCCAAAGGGATGTC